TTTTTTTTTTTTTTTTTTTTTTTTTGATGTTGAATTGACCGGCCCCAGGTAATTCAGAATTACTGTATTTTTATTGAAATTTATTCTGTTTATCTGAGTTAGGGCGCCGGTTGGTCAAACGAATTATTCTCTTTCGTTTTAACTCGAAAAGAAATTGCAATTCCAGGTTGGGGAAAAAAGAAAAAAAAAAAGGAAAAATAAAGAAGAGAAACTCGCAACAAGAAACAGAAAAGGAGAAAAGAAAAAAGAAAAGAAAAAAAAAAGGAAAAAAAAGGAAAAAAATAAAAAGAGAGAATTTCCTACACAGTGGCGAGGTCCCTTTTGTGCAGGGGCGAGGTCCCATTAGCAAAGAGGATTGGATGGAGTTCCTGAATCTGGACGTGTTGTAAGCGGAGATGCAGAAAAGCAGTTCAATCTCGAATTTCTGCACCTCGTCGCGAACAGGTCTAGATTCATGCGCTCAATCCAATCCTTGTTGCTAGTGGGACCTCGCCCCAGATTTTTCCTTTCTGGCCAGGCTAATTGGCTCACCCGGGGGTGCAGCACGACCGTGCACCTGTCTCTTATACACATCTAGATGTGTATAAGAGACAGCACACAAACACACACACACACACACACACACACACACAGAGAGAGAGAGAGAGGAATGATGGCTTACGTATCATCTCCAGGTGTGGTATCGTCACAGATGACATCTTCTCCTCGCCACGTGGCAGGTGCAGCGTTCGACCCATCAGAGAACTGGTGTAATCATTACAGGACGATCGGTCTCGCTTCCACGTGTTCATCTCCTTGGCTATCGCGATCCTCCTCCCGCTCCTCACCTTCTCCCAAAGGAAGACATGAGAGTGGTTCCCAGCAGCGCCATTCTCGTTATCCTCCCTCTCCCTCTCCCTCACCCCCTCCCTCTCCCTCTCCCTATCCCTATCCCTCTCCCTCTCCCTCTCCCTCTCCGTCGCTCTGTCGGCAGAGCAGCCTGTCCTCCAATTGGTCCAATTCGACATCCTCGAGTCTTCCAATGCGAAGGGGTGGATGCGCTGTGGTGGTTGATCTGACATGGGGATCCCGATCGGATGTAGCTGTGCGTGTTGGGTCTATCCATCCACCGCCGCGGACATGGGATCCCGATCGGCGATGCAATATCGGGCTTATCCAAAAGGGATACCGATCTCCACGTGGCAGTGGACAAGGAGGCCCTGCTGGAACGTGGGGTGCTTCTGCTGGTGATGACGTGGCGGCCGCAGCTTTGCGGCAAAATAGCCATCATGGGGGGAAAATGGGGAAGGAGGAGGAGGGAGGAGGAGGAGGAGGAGGAGGAGGAGGAAGCACGGTGGAGGCGGGAAAACGAGTGTTGTCCAGCTCAGCGGGGCGAAGTATCACCGGAGGTATCAGGGGATCGTTGGGGGTGGGGGTGACGATGGATGATGAGCGACAGACGGGATTGGGACGCAGGTCGGGGTCGCGAGATGGCATGGTGGAGACCGTAAGATCGGAGGAGAGAGACACAAAGAGGATGGTTGCAGAAGAGGAGGAGGAGGAGGAGGAGGAGGAGGAGATGAAGAGTTTGTATCAGTCATTCCTTGATTACAGCATGAAGGCTATGAGTGCGCGGATGGAACTGTGGCGTTTTCCGTTTGAGGTGCGTTTCTCTCTTTTTTTTTTTTTTTTGGGACGTGCGTTTCTCATTCTCTCCTCCAGTTTTTGTCGATTGTCCTTTTTTTTTTTTTTTTTTTGCCCTTTTTTCTTTGAAGTTTTCTGATAATCCCTCTGTGTTCGATCTCGAATTTTTAATTTTTGTGTTGGGTTACTGGCAAAGTCTTTAAATGAAATGATTTTTAAATTTCTTTTGGGAATTGTGGCGCTATCCGTTTGAGGTGCGTTTCTCGATCTCTCCTCCTTCAGTGTTTGTCGATTATCCCCTTTTTGTTTTTTGGTCTTATTTTGCCCTTCTTTCTTTGCAGTTGTTTGATAATCCTTCTGTGTTCGATCTCGATTTTTTTTTTTTTTTTTTTTTTTTTGGGTTATTGGCAAAACCTATAAATGAAATGAAGTAAGAAGTAAAATAGAGTAATGCTACAATCATGGTGGTGATTGTTAACTCTTGCGCGGTTTGTCGTTTTCCCGTTCTGTTATTCCCCTTGTTTTTTTTTTTCTTAATGAAAAACATTAAGGCTATTTCTTAATCAACGAAACTCTTGCCTCAGGGTCGCACCGGGATTTTTATTTAAATTGAAAATCAAAAACATTTTTTTTTTTTTTTTTTTTTTTTTCAGACTGCTCGTATAAGTGGTCGTGGGGGAGCGTGGTCCCATTAGCAGTCGGATAGGAGTGTGGCCGATCCAGTGTGACACTGTGTGGCAGCGGTCTGACAGCTTCATTTCGAATTAAATTTTCTTGGCTGAGAAAACAGGAGAAAGGCAAACGGAAAAAAAAAAAAAAACAGAGACCTCCCACCGGAGATCACGGCAGAGTGCTTCCCAGCCATCAGATCACAAATGATCTGATGATCTGATGGTGGTGGTTTCAACAACAGTGAGCAAAGAAACTGTGCCACATTTTCTGGAATTTAAACTCGACTTCTGTCAGCAGTGATCATGACGCCCTCCATATATATCGTCACAAACAGAACTGCCCAGTAAACCGTAGGCAGAGAGAGAGAAGAGGACAACAAACGAGGGGCTGTGACAAACTGTTTCGTCGGAGTTTCACCGACTCATCAGGAGGCTGAACCCTAGATATATATTGTCACAAAGTTATCATATATATATGACATATATATTTGCCTTTTGGCTGTGTGCAAGTGGGTCGATATGACACACGGGGGTGGGGGCAGCCGCCGCTCAGCTTACATCCACGTGGGCGGCCTTGTACGCAAGAGGTTCTGAACAAGGGGAGTTGTAAGGAAGAAGATCAAAAAACGAATTCATTTTTTTCTTGTTTTCCTTGTTTTCTTTCGTTTTTCGCTTTGGCGCTCTGATATCATGTGCTCCACGTGGGCGGCCTTGTACGCAAGAGGTTCTGAACAGCGGGAGTTGTAAGAAAGAAGATAAAAAATTGAATTCAATTTCCCTGGTTTTCTTTTCTTCTTTTTTCTTTTTTTCGCATTTGCGCTCCTCCTGATGAGTCGGTGAAACTCCGACGAAACAGTTTGTCACAGCCCCTCGTTTGTTGTCCTCTTCTCTCTCTCTGCCTACGGTTTACCGGGCAGTTCTGTTTGTGACGATATATATACTCCGTGATGGAAGGAGGGCTCCACCCAATGAGATACTCCTTTGACCAGGTAACTTAGGATCAAGGTGAAGCGATTTGCACAAACGAAAATTCAATTGGATAATCATCAAACCGAATTGGTCAGTTCGATTTTCCTATTTAGTACATTATTTATCGGAACCGATTTGGACAGCCGATATAGGTTGGGACTCGGGAGAAGTGATGAGCATTTTGGACATATCAGATTTAGGTTGGGAGAAACGATGAGCATTTTCGACATTCTGGATCATATAGGTTGGCATAAATGATGACCATTTTGGACACAATGATTTAACAGTTTGGACGCATCACAGAGTTACCAGCCAGATTGATTTATCAAATTAGGATTTAATTTACCAAAACCACATTTAGTTCAGCAGTCAACCGATTTCTGATTCTGCGCACACCATCACCATCGGGGCCAACAAATTTATCAAAATTTAGTGGAATCGATTTTGCATGTTAGTCACATGCGTCTGAATCACGGGCCTGCTGCTGCTCCCGGAAACTGTCGACCTACAGTAGAACTTCGCCTCGACTAGCGTTGGCGAAGTTTCGGGTCACCTCTCTAATCCATTACCCCCCTCCCTCCTAACCAACCCCCAAAAAAAACTTGGACCATTTCTCCATTTTTGTCTGTTGTCATCTTTAATTGTGAAGGGCTTCTCTGCCGTGTTTTTTGCGTTCCGATGGACATTTTCCGGGTTTTTTTTTTTTTTTTTTTTTTTTTT